CGATATGGGAATTAGCTATCCACCAGGTATTACAGTAATTAGTGAAGGGAACTTATCGATCCAGTCCGCTCCTCCCTTGTGATGGATGAAAAATATTTTACAGATTACTGTCCCATGTGCGCGCAGGCAACAGATACATCAGTACTCCTAAGTTGTAACTTGAGGACTTACGCACACGTTCCTTATCACGAAGATATGGTATTCCTGCTTAATTGTCTTTTCATTGTAACAAGATTGTCTGTCACCACAATATATATAGCAAAAGAGTCGTCTAGTCTTCTCCAGAGCACAGGTAGTCTAGTCTTTGTAGGTCATAAACGTACGTAAGAAATAGCAATGATCTTTTGTTGAGGTTGTCGTCCTTTACGAAGGAGCGGCTGTGCCATATGAGAACAATGAGACTGATTCATGCAAATAATGAAAACTGAATCCTATTCTAAATGGCAGTTTGAATTTGGGTAAAATATTGAAATGACTCAGTTTGTTTTTCTGAAAGTGATGGCAGCACATTTATCAGCCTGCTGAACTCCAATGTTATTCAGTCTAGTCTCATGGTAGAAAACTATTGTGTTACGTTGACAATGCATGTATCGCTGTATATGGATATTATTTCCGTACCTTTCATGTGACAACAATAGAACTGTCACTCTCACAAGCACGCCTTGCCTTTAAGACAATTATGATGCTGCGACAGCGATTAGTCATGTTTGCAAACGTCAACCTCGGTTGGACGAAGACAATACCAGTTCCACATTGACGCGTCTACGTTTGAACAACATAAAAACTAACATTGATTATCCCTGACATCTGTTGAGCAATGAGCTTGTTTTGGTCGTCTCAGAAGGCAAAATCATAATGAATTAATGAATTGGATTTCCATGTAGGAAGCCCAATGCTGCTCAAACTTCCTATATGGAACCATATTGATTGAAACCAAACTACCGCCCAACAAACATCCAATGCAAGATCATACCGGAATTGAAAAAAAAAAAACACCAGCGCTTCGTAATAAATGAAATAGAATACCAGTAGTATGCAAGTAGTATGTAAACACGCAAATGTAAACACGTACGTACTACAAAATTGATAGTGACGATAACGCATAGTCGGCGTTTTGAGTTTCCATGTATGATAATTGTTGTTGACATACAGAAGCGGTTGTGAAGTTAGCCAATCCATCAACAATGTTGTACATGAAATCATATACATCATGAATGTTTACATGCGATGATGACTTTGATGAGTCGCGGCACCCTTATTAATCTAGCGGCTACATATCATAGCACTCTATACAAAACATCTCATTACACGTACCCATAAATTAATATATTCATGGGTATGAAGGATTTGACATAGTGATATGCTTGATTTCGCCAAATTACCGTTTTTCACTTCGGATCATAATGTAGTAAGATGACGCCAATTAGCAATAAAACATAAAGAGAATTTCTGCCCAAATAAATCATTGAGATCAACATGGAACAAGGCAGCTGTATTGTATATCATGTTGTAGATTGTTTACACGCATTTTGCAATTAGAAAAGCCCTGCATGCTTGAATACTAGTTTTGAGGTGTGCGTCCAATGTTACCACGCCCACATAACAGGTTAATGCATTAGTGAAGACCAACCATGGATGCCATCAAAATAAATCAACAATACTTTCGTGGCTACCTCAACAACAGCGGTTCAATGATGGCAAATATTCCATGCTGAAAATTCACCGTGGTCACATGATATCACATCTAATCAGTATACACAACACTATTTGATTTAACGTGACGTTGACTTTGATCTTAACTTTTAACATGAAGCTTCATAGCTTCATGTACTCATGATGAGCACGTGAAGGTTCCTAGAGAGTTGCCATCAATGGTTGGAAGCCGGTATGATGTATGAGTCAGTTCTTCGTAGATGACTGATGTTACCACAGGCTCATAATACACGTAATGCATCATATACTACGCTGAAGCCCGCTTGGGGGCACTAAAGCCGTTAAGCTGAGTTTAAAAATCGTTTTGTTGCAGAGGCACGCTGAAAGTCTTAATGGTCTAAACATTGTGCTGGAAGTGGGCGTCAAGGATTGTACGAGGTTGCCTTATTTCACGATGAGGAGGTCTTGGTGGCAGAGCAAAGGTTACTCAACGATGTGACCATCCTTCATGTTTATGTCTATACTATGCTCTGTTATAGCGCAGGGGGCATTAGCGCTTATGGTTATTGCAAATGGCTAGACTGAGACCTAAGGCATGTCCTCCTATATTAAGTATTGAGGTAAAAGTCTAATTACTCTTATAAATGATTTACTAGCTATTAGACTGCAGTTTGGGTAACCTCAGCATCCTGAGGCTAACTTTGATATTTTGGTCACTTCTGAAGAGAGTGAATTTTTTTCGCTATGAAACAAATGTCATATTGAAGTTACATACTTCAAACATTACCCCTGACGAAGAATTCGCTATTGCAGAGTCTATCTTATGGAAATGACCTGTCATCATCCTTTAAGAATTTAAGTTTGGAGCGACAACGATCATCAGGGAAGCTTTGGTTCTCCGTAATTAACGTCCCATGTGCACTCATTAAGTACCAATTTTTGGCATGTACACGCGCAAGCGATAGTGACTTTTAATTGGGTGCAGCATTTAACGGAACATTCGGCTGAGGATCAAAATAAATCATAGTCACGTTGGCGCGTGGCTGCATGAATACAAACGATCAAAGGGACAGTAATGAGTTATTTCGTTTCGGTAACAGCCTCTCGAAGTTTATCAGTGATCAGTCACTCTGGTGAGAGAATATGTGGTGATGTTTATCTTATCGACAAACACTCCGCATTGCACGGTCCATCGAGCGCGCGTTTTGTGCTGGTGATGAAAGTACCTGTTATGGCCGATAAACTCAAACTCCATGTCATCAGCCGGACTGAAATAAACCCTACCTTTCAAACTGCATACACTAGGAGTCTTCCAGAACACCCGTATTCCCATATGTTTAAGATTTGTACTTTGCATGATGCCTTCCCTGTACAGCAACTTGCGCTCTAGTGGACAATCAGCATTGCAGTTGACCTAGCATATCTCTACTTCAAAGGTGGCGCCATAAAGGAAGCAGGTAGCTCTTACATATCTCCAGATATATAAGCATACTTGTACAATAAATTCCCCAAAGGTATAATTAGCGTCACTGATCATTACCTGAATTCATTGAAAAACTCTATTGGCCTAGGTTTAAGAGTATTCTATAAAACAGACTTTGACCTGTCCAGAAAGCCCTTTCCTTCCATCGTCTCCACGAGGAGGTCATTGAAGGATACAAACGTAACAGCTAGAGGGCGTCTACCTCCCAAATATAAATGGTAATCACGGGAAGGAGGTTAATTAAAGTCGTTACCCTTTCTGGAATTCCTCATTCACCACAAAGGTCGGCGATGATGTAATAGGAAAGGAATGGATAAGATGGACATAAAGTGGCTAGTCATTCGTTAGAACTTCAGAATCGCAGGTGCTACGAGTTCTATGGTTTTCAGAGCAGTTTGCAGCAGTTCACGAATGAAGCGTTAGGTTCTTGTAGAAAAGAATCAATGCAAAAATATTTGTCAAGCAATCAAATCTACCACGCATGATTAGCGATTTGCAATTCGATCAGCAGATTTATTGTCCGCAGGCTATCTCTACCAAAACAACTTTTATAATAAAACAAAACAAAACAAAATAAAAAATCTATCTCTGGCACATTCCAGTCAAAAACAAATGGATTGAGACCATCCGTGAAGAAGTAGTTGGGGCTCTTATTTGCTTCAGCCATTTTACCATCCTTTGTAATTAGAATAACGCATGATAAATGGAAAATGGAACTATAATATTAATTTGAAGGGAGACGATATTAGTATATTTGACAACAAAAAAGCCGAACACATATGAGGTTGTCTGTGTTTCACATTCACGTGATAGTCTGCAAGCTGTTGTCAGCACATGCCGGTCAGCCGAATCTCCGAATTTCAAGGAAATTAAGCAGGACATGTACAAGGATGTCAACATTTATAACTCACGGTATGCTTGAGTTATGGGCGCAGCCTTCATATTATACTGTACATCGGATGTCAATATGACGCCATGTTAATCATTTTCCTGTCAGGGGAATGATCTCAGCAGGCGATACCTCGTTCCTTATTGGATGTGATTTCCGGAGGGTGTAATGTCTTGGATCGATGACCTGAACACAGAATGAGAGAAACATCCTGGAGCAACTAAACAGGCCCTGTCTGTCCCACACTTACCTATTACTGTGGTGCAGTCACGTGATATTCAAATGTCTGTGTCGTTAAACACGGTGTCACTTCAGTGCGGTTAAGGTTGTGTGACGGGAAATAAACCGCCACATATTTACCACTCCCCTCTTTTTATGCACTGGCCTCTGTTGTGCTGTGCCCTTCCCAGGACAGAACAAGAATTTCCCATTTGAGAAATACATCACTGTACCTTGATGTCAGGAAAATAGATGTCACTGTGTCTGCGCCCAAATCCACAACCAATTTGACTAAAAGGTAACAAGGGTTTCGAGAAAGGTTTTTCATTAATTTCAGTTGAGTGAAGGAGGTAAGAAAGCTTTTGAAATAATAAGCGGTTTTTATTTGCAGAGACGCAGCCCTTATATCATCTAGATCTTACTACGCGTACGCCTGACTAAGAACTACCAAGTCATAATCCACACAAGCGCTTTGCTCACTAACTGTAATCATGCAGTTCAATTCTAAACCGTCGTCGTGCTCATTTGCATGATTATGCATCCTCCCCGCACTCCTCGGAGTAGTTGATCCCGTCAGGCCATTCGACAGAGGAAATGATAGCAAGACAGGTGCTCTGGAGGAGGCATGTTCCTGTAAGTCATACTGTGTAGTCACGGGTAGGTGCCAATCTGAAGCGACGTCCCTATAGCTCACTCCATCGACGTGTTTGATGGGCTTTTGTCTGTTTTTCTGTCTCCCTTCCATTTGCGACGTAGGGATGCTGGTCTGCCAACCTTCCGACGAGTTCTGTGGAATTTTCCAATCGGGCATCTTCTGAAGATAAGCACTCCTCTTTGTTCAGCACCATGGACGGAGCCATCCGAGCTGCCTTGCCAATCCTCGCTGCTTTGCTTTCCGTTCACACCAGGACTTCCGAACAGTACCAGGCCGAGAATAACAACAGAACGTGAGTGAAAAACCTTATTCTTTTAATACATAACAATGACGTGCGCGTTTGGCGTGTCCTTCTGAAATCCTTTCCTAACTTTATTATCACCAATATTGTCTGGGTCAGGAATATCTGCTCGGCATCTCATAGTTATTCAACAGTGTCTACCACCACTGTTAGAAGGTTGAATCAAAGATGTTTTCATCTGGCCAATTTCTATCCTCAAACAATGAAAAGGGCGCACTGTATTTCTCAAACGTATGCTCATTGTTTGATACTCTCCTTCTGACGGTCTACAAAGATAAAGAATAAATTTTTCCCCGTTATATTTCACCCAGGACCCCTCTTCTACTGTGCAAATACCATGTGGCAATTTTACAGATATCAGATATTTTGTTTGAGTTTTATTTTGCTCTTGATTTTTACACGTCTCCGTTCTTCTAGAAACTACATCAAATACATGCCAACCCTACCGCCCTTTCCGGGAGCTAATCGCACCATGGGTTACAACCCGACCATGGGGCCGTCCTCACTGCAGAACAATATCGAGGAGCCAATGTTTTTCCTCCCGGAAGGCTACTTTTACTGGCTGAGACCTAACTGGGAAGGTAGGTGACTTTTCCACAAATAATTTTCCTCTCTCAAATTCTTATCTGGTACTAATGTACTCATTTGACGTGATGTTGAGGTTGTTTTATAGATCATAGAACTTTTATATACGTAGCGGACTGAAGCTGTCATTTTTTATTACCATCTTCATGTTTTCCAGCTTGTAAACGATTCAGTTTTCCGGCTATTTGTGGTACTGTTTTTGCATACTGGCTATGAGCCTACATATCTCAAGTCGTGGCTTCGTAACGCATAGAAATATCACGTCTTCCAAACCTGGAGAGTTGTGTTCAATTCAATTTAGAGCGCACGATGAGTGCCTAATCAAAGATATGCCCTTCTGATCACAGTTTAAATTGTCACATCATGACCCAGCTGAAAGAAGTAGATTACAAATTTTGACAAGCAGCCAATACGTCGTCTAGACTGTTGGCATTCACCGTAAGGTGCCTTACCAGATGCTGACTTTAAACGTAGTCGGTAATGCAAGTTGCGAAACGGATATTAATTAACATGGACGCCACTAATTTGTACAGCACATCACTAACAAAGCAACCGCCTATCATGTGGCTCCTCTTCTAATTATACTGAGGTCGATTGTGAATGAAGTTGATTAAATTGCTGTCAGAATTCGCAGGATTAGTGGGTAATTTTTCTGATTTGAAGACCTGCAAAGTTATTGCAATTGAGCCAATTGGAAAAACTTAGCCATATTAACATACAGATTGCTGATACATAGCTAGCACAATACATCATCCCGGATTATCATATAGTCTGAAACAAATTAGATAGAGTGGCATCAGTCATAGACTCTCTCTCTTTATTACTGTTCTACTACATCATGTTCACAACTATCTTGTTTTTTTTTTCGCAAAATCGCTGGAATACGTATATATTATGTTAAAAAATTAACATTTTGTTCTCTAGCCGCCACGAGAAACCATGGAAATCCGTTCTCATTGAAGTATGAAAGTACCCGAACAGATTCGCTTCTCCCGGTTTACACACATGTACAAGGCTCCGTGTCTGTAGGGGCCCCAAAGACCGGGTCCAGAAATGTCGGTAGTAGGAGTCGTTTTTCACAGGGAACCGGACATACGGTCTGCTGACCTTGGTGGTTAATTGGACCGATCTAGGGTCACATTGGTCATGACCTGTCAGCTGCGCTTGTGTTTGATTTGCCAATTTAGGAGAGCTGAGTGAAAAACGGCCCTACCACGCGTCTTATTTCACCAAGCAGAAGCGAGAAGAAAAACGTCTCGATACACCTAGTTCATCTTGCGTAAAAGACTAGGCCTCAAAATCTACTCATTTTTGTAAAAACAAGGATGATATTTCTGTGCTACCGCATTTTGTAGGACAAAGCTAGTGTTGTGTGAGCATGGCGTCCCTACATATCAGTGCTTCCTTAGAAGCGGCTTAGCCTAACCTTTTTTCTTATTCGCATTCATGTCAAGTTGCCCAACATCCTCTAAAACATGGACCCAACGGACAATTTCGGTACGCCAGTTCGTCCACTTATGCTAAAGCTGGAAGATTAAAGGCTTAGCTTGTTCGTCAACACGTCAAGATTTAGGGTAATTCGTGCGGAAGTGAAAACGTGACCTACTCTTCCATAAAACGATATCGAATGTTGGGCCTATGCCATTGCGAGGAGCTGGTCGTACATTAAAATGCATGCCACCAATTATGATATTGCTTTATCCGAAATCATATGAATTGAAGCATATAATTGTCAACGAGGCACTAAAAACCCATAGTTTGACACACATCTAGCGTAGACCTGCCTCCCGTTAATGTCGTTAAGTCTTGATATATTATCCATAACTGATAGGATGATGATAATTAACGTTAAAGTAGTGCTGAATGGGTGATTTAGGAGCAACAGGCGCGTTTTTATGACAAGGTGGAACAGCAGAAGCCCAAATAAACGTCACACACAACAGTTAGGAAACGGTATAACATCTATGCTTGTTAATGTCGTCAGCATGCAGTAGACATCGTGTCGCTCGCACAGGTGGTTTTATTCTTGGCATGTTTAGTTTCTGTAACGGTAATGATATTGATTTTGAAGGATCGCACAGGAAGTGAGGAAATCCTCCACGGAAATTAGCTGGACGCAAGACATTGCAGCCAGGGTTAACCTGTCTCTTCCCACCACATTGAAGCACCGCATGGCTACTTCAGGGCTTTTCTCTGCGACTATCACATCAGTATGTCTGAGCCATAGCATAAAATACACGGCTTTCAGGGAAGACTCTAAATATTGGCCTGTAAATCAACCTGTGTGCACCACCGTCCACAGCCGTGGACACCGCTTGGGTGGCTTTCGTGAAGGGAAATCCTAGAGAATGCAGGACAGCATGAATGAATCTAAACGGTTGTCGAAATCGGAGAGAACCTCAAAGAGCAAAGTTTTAATCATAGTTCATTTGCGTATGGGGTAATTTGGTAGATGCGTCAGAGTTACATGTACAATACAGGTGTCTGCATTTATTTCTGTTATTATATGTTGAAGTCTTCCCGCTATGACGCAGTTTCTTACGAAACACGGAAATTGCGAAAAACAATGAGTCTCAAAGTCATATACAAGACTGTCAACCTTGAACTTGAAATTCTGATGAAAAACGTGCGATTCAGACAAACTTCCTTAACACGATTCGTGCCTGCACATCCCAAACGCACTGCCTTACTTACCGGAAGATAGCAGATAGTGCCAACGGGTTTACAGTCCAGGGAGGACGTGTGTAATAGTATGCATCACGAGGGGACCAGGGGTTCAGGCAATCCAGCAAATGGATGCTGTGCAGTCGACATCAAAAAGAACGTACTGACAGAAACTACAGATAATAACTTCACGTGCAATTTATCGCCCGGCCTTTCCCACTTTTATCCTGAAATAGCTGACAGCTTTCTGTGGCAATGCAGAATCCTTTAAAACAGATTGTAAATTAAAGGCAACTGTTTCTTATCTCTGTGTCTGATGTCTACTGAAATACATGTGACTGTGATGGCTTCAGTACTGATGTCGTTATCCATGATGTCTGTGACTGTGCTGTGCATGCCGTGCAAGTGTTGATGTCGTGTAGGTAAGTGCGGCAACGATATTCCAAATTGCTGTTGAATCTTCCACATTCAGCGAATCGCTCCATTTGGGATATGCTTGGCCGTGCACAGAGACCACATCTACTTCCGTCAGCTTTTAGTCCTCATTACTGGTAGTGCCAGTGAAAACATTATCATCTGTCACAGCTTGCGTACGCGAAATTATCGATACCACCTGTGAAAAGAAGTCGCCTTGCACTACCCAGAAACTTCATCTCATCACACTCACAGCGTGAACCAAATGTTTTCTGGCGAGAGGCCAGTCCCAGCCACTAGCTTACCGCCTCGCCTCCAGCAGTCTTGTTTGTCCCTAATCCTTCCCTCCCATTCCTCTTCCGATTGAACCTCTTCTCACGCCACTGGGCCGTTTCTTTCATCACGTTAGTGTTTGACTCCTTTAACGCCATCCAACTGTTCACCTCGACTATTAACCTCTAAGAAAGCTGAGACAGAATTTATTGTCTCCTATCTTGCGTACTGCTTCATTTGACCCTGTCCTTGGCCTTCCGACCTTGACTTCCCTTACCTACATAACTGTGTCTTACGGATTTGTAGTTCATTCGAAGAGCATCATGAGTTGACCACATTCATCCCGGCCTGTCGGTCAGAAGCCATGTCAGCAATTGACTCTGGTTTCAGCCCGCCCCTGTTGTGTCCCCCAGCAGTCTCTGTATGTAAGACAGGTAGAATGTCTTCCGTCATTGCAGACGGAATCGTCCATACGCGAATATAGCTTTTTGAAAAACAGCAAGTATGAACATGACTGTTTATCCTTTTGCAGCATAGTAATTGTAATATGAAATGTGATGAACAGTGTTTTGTGTACTTTGCCACATCAGCGCAAAGCTATTGAACATCGTATCCAATATACCAGATATAATCATGTATCTTGTATTATGTCAGCTGTTAAAATACCCAAAAGTATGATATGATTATGGCCCATTATCCTCACAATAGGTAGCTGCAATTTACGATCAAGTTTAAAGGTGAAGCAAATTTTTCATCTCAAAATTTACACACCGTAGAATTCCATCTCCTAAGGTTCTCTCCCACCGGAACTTCAGTCAAACTAGGGGCATTTAACGATTCAGCGATGACGCAATCCAACTTTAAATCATCGTCGTCCGATACAAGAGGTCAGTACATTAAGTCAGATTTAATTTGCTCTCTTTTGTTCATTCTCAAAGAGCTGGAATGAGTCATCTGCGTTCTACTATTCATCAGTTGCCGTGGGAGGTTGTAGTTTTCTATGCGCGCATGTACAGGTCATGAATAGCGTTTCCGATGGTGGTTTGCAGGTGCTGTTAGCTTACAGTCCTTAATTTCTATTCATTAGTCTGCCACATGTGGCCTCTATTTCATGATTCAACGTGTAGAGTTGACAACCCATAACTACAATAAAAATTTAAAAGACGTTTGCTCAGACTTTTACCTGAACCTAGAAATTATGAGTGATTTGTCTCAAGGGAAATTTTACTACATGATCTATCACTGTCATCGAGGTTTGGCTAGGTCTGCGTGTCCCACTTTCAGTAAATCATCGGGAGTGTACATACATCAGGAAAGTGTCATGGGGAATTTTATCTCTCAAGAGATGCAATGATGTTCGCCAGTATATAACGCACAATTGAATAGCTCTGGAGTATTTGGAGAATCTGTCCCCAGAGACGTGGAAATGATTCTCTCACTAAGACATTGTAACATTATGACATTGTAACATTGCACAAGTTACGGATGGTTTGATAAATCTCATATAGTTACCAGAGACACATATGGTAACGGAATCAGTGGTTGTTTTTGGCCTCTGTTTTCCAAAGTTGTTTCCCACAACCAATGCATGTAATCAGACCACCGCAGCCAAATGAGTGTTTTTTAATAAAAAATACGTTTGCTT